CTCCATTTCTTGAATTAATAAATCGTGGCAAATTCATAGTATTATATGGACTACAAGCCTCTGGGAAATCTATACAGCTTCTCTTGTTTTAGTTTCATCTCTCAGCAATGTATCTTTCATCTTTATAAATATTGAGTATTCTAAAACTTCATCTTCTAATAAGGAGATAATAAAATATTGCCATATATTATAACTCAAATACATTCCCATTTCTAGCTTTGAGAATAGCTTTCTATAGATCACATGTCTACAAAAACAGACAAAATCAGCATGTCTGTAAAAAAGAAATAGTAATAAGAGAATTAAGACTTTATCATATATTATCTGAATATAGAAGTGATTTTTATACAATAGCATAATATGATTGATCAACTAATCAAATTATTGATTTACAACATTTTAGAATTCATAGGATTCAAGAAATATGTTATTAAGCAAAGTGTAAGCTTCTACTTTTTTAAAAAATTTTTTATATTTTTTAAAAGGGATAAGGCATATAAACTTTTCAAAAAAGTATTGTAAAATAATATAAAAAAATTTGTTATCAATTGTGTAACAACTATGTAGTATCCACTGTCTCTGCTATAAATTAAGATATCTGTAAAGAATTAAAATTACTTAGTTTCAGCTACTTACCTGTTTGTTAGTATATATATATCTTCAATAACTTCTTAGTCAATAGTCAACTTATAATCATTTGTGAATTCTTTGTATATAAATTGTACTTGTTTCAAAGTAAAGTTAGGATTCTGAAATGGTTCATTAATGTTGAATGGTGACTTGATTAAATTTTTCGAGTTTAAATGCATAATATTGAAGGGTCTGATAATAATAACAGAGTATATAGTATAGTCTTATTTGCTAGCTTTGATACCACGAAGAGTTATCAGACACAAGACAAGTATATTGTCTGTTGCATTATACAATATATCAAACTCATCAAAAAAGATAATAGTATCTAAAGACTTCTATTAAGTTCTATAAAAAGTATTAAGAAAATTATTTGCGGATTTGATTTGTGGGCTTTTTAGAGAGCCAAAAAGTTCAGATGAATTATATTGAAAAGTCATACTAAGTGTTTGCCAGAAAAGGTCTACATTATTTATGTTAACATGTTAAAAAGATGTGCTATAAGAGAAATGATAATATAATAGAAAGTTGAGAAAATAAAAGTTGATGTTTGATAACATAATTTAGTAAACAACTATTAAGCAAGAGCTAACTTACTAGATGCAAATAATGCCTTTATTTTTTAACTGGTTCTGAAAGTGGAGCATCTGTATAGATTTCCCAGAGGCTTGTAGTCCATATAATACTATGAATTTGCCACGATTTATTAATTCAAGAAATGGAG